TATCCTAATCGCCTGGGAGAACAGTGCAGCAGGGAAGGAAATGAGCATTGGCCCTAATTCTTGGAAACGGTGGCTTGAGACAATGTTGATCCCCTTGATATGGACAGCGTGCACACAGGAGAGAGAGCACAGGACAGGCTCAGCTGATGCTCTGTCACTCAACCTCAGACTCAAACAGCTAGAGGGACCTGCTGAGTGCACAGGGATTTCCTCAGCTCCGAGGACTTTTGCTCTATGCCTATTTGCAAAGGTTTCTCAGGTTCTCTTGCAGCTAGAAGTGGTCGCATGGTCCTGTTGGGCCAATGAAATGGACGCAAAATTCACTGTCCTGGGTTTGGAGAAAGCCTGTTAAAGAAGCAGGTTTATGTTATGAAAAACACAGAATTACTACAGGACCTAGCAACCCCACTTTCTGGGTACATACCTTGAAGAGTTTGAAACAGTAGCAAAGTAGCAAAGAGATATTTATATGTCTTTGGTCAGCTAGCATTAATATTTGCAAGGGCCAAAAGGTAGAAGCAAACAAATACTCATCAGTGGATGAATAGATAAAATAAAATGCAATATATCTCTATGGGCTGGAGCTATTGCATAGCCGGTAGGGCGTTTGCCTTGCAACCCGGGTTCGATTCCCCCGTCCCTCTCAGAGAGTCCGGCAAGCTACCGAGAGTATCTTGCCCACACGGCAGAGCCTGGCAAGCTCCCCGTGGCATATTCGATATTCCAAGAACAGTAACAACAAGTCTCACAATGGAGACGTTACTGGTGCCCGCTCAAGCAAATTGACAACCAACGGCTACAGTGCTATATCGCTACAATGGGATGTTCTTTAACCTTAAAAAGGAAGAAAAGTCTGTCACATGCAATATACATGACATGCATGAGGTCTCCTGTTCCTGAGAGGCTTAGAGTAATGAAATTTGAAGAGACAGGAAATAAAATGCAGTTGCCAGGAGCAAAGGGAGAAGGGAAAGGGGAGTGAATGTTTAAAGGACACAGAATTTCAGTTTTGCAAGGGCAAAGAGTTCTGGAAATTGGCTGCCCGACACGATGAATGTACTTAATACAACTCAGCTAGGCACTTACAAACAGTAAAAATAACATAATTTAGATCATGTAAGGGCTGGAGTCATAGCACAGCGGTAGGGTAGCGATAGCATGCAAGCCACCGGCCCGGCCGAGCCAGGTTCGATTCCTCTGCCCCTCTTGCAGAGCCTGGCAAGCTACTGAGAGTATCCTGCCCGCACGGCAAAGCCTGGCAAGCTCCCCGTGACGTATTCGATATGCCAAACACAGTAACAACAAGTCTCACAATGGAGACGTTACTGGGTCCGCTCGAGCAAATCGATGAACAACGGGTGGACAGTGCAGTGCAGTGCAGTAAGTTCGATAATTTTGTTTTATTTTTTGTTTGCTTTGCGGCCACACCCAACTGTGCTCAGGGCTTAGCCCTGACTCTTGGCTTAGGGATCATTCCTGGCAGACTTGGGGGTCATATGTGGTATCGAGGATCAAACCCAAATCAGCCACTTGCTCTATCTCTCCAGTCCTAAGTCTGACCATTGGAAAATAGAAAATTAAAGAGCACACTCAGCTGACATGTGCCTTTATTTTATTTTAGTTTTCTTTTTTTGTCTCTCTGCCTCCTTTTTCTTTGTGCTTGTAGACTCAGAACAGGCCAGAAAGCAGTCATATTTCAGTCATGAGACTGAAAGCTATGGGTGGCCTGGGAAGAGTCAGGCCTGTTTCTGGAGAACACTACCAGGCTGCACTCCAGCCCTGGATTTTGTCCCACCCTTGGCCTGGCCACCGATCACTAGATTATGTACAGGACCTTATTTTCGGAGTGAACCCGAGCGTTTGCTGACTGAAAAGCCAAAACCTGGCCACTCCAACCACCTCACTCACCAGAATCCATTCCTTAAGCAAAGGGTTCCACAATGGATGAATAAAGTCTATATTATTATTATTATTATTATTAATTTTATGTTGGGTTTTTTTTTGTTTGGTTGGGTTTTTTTTTTTTTGGCTTTTTGGGTCACAGGGCTTACTGGCTCTGTGCTCAGGAATTACTCCTGGCGGTGCTCGAGGGACCATATGGATGCTGGGAATCGAACCCGGGTCGGCCACGTGCAAGGCAAACGCCCTACCCGCTGTGCTATTGCTCCAGCCCATATATGTGTGTGTGTATATATATGTATATATATAGATATATATATGCCTTAACCAACAAATTAGTCAAAGTTGTATCTTCACCATAGAGATGCCAGGGCCAGAGTGATAGTCCAGCGAGGAGGGCACTTGCCTTCCATGTGGCAGATCTGGGTTTGATCCCCGGCATTCCATATGGTCCCCCGAGCACTGCCAGGTGTGATTCCTGATTCCTGAACACAGAGTCAGGAGTAGCCCCTAAGCATCGCCAGGTGTGACCACCCCAAAAAAGCAAAATTTAAAAAAAAAAAACTATAGAGATGTCAGACTACAACTGGTCATGCTTTGTGACAAGACTGCTCCAAAGGCCTGTTGACAGTGAAGGAGCAAAAACACAGAGACCCAAAATAGGACAAATTTCATCAGGATGCACCATCCTATCATCAGGATGCACCATCATATGATGTCCAGGTTTGGGACCCAGAAGAATGGGTCGAAGTGGCGGGTGAA